CAAAAGGCTCTTTCCAGGGCCGACACCAAACGGCCCTTTTCAGGGCTCTTTTTTATAAAAACCCAAAAAAATACATCTTGTACATAGTGTAAATAGAAGTCTTCTTTCTATTATAGAAAGAACTTTTCATACACGCCTATCACATCCACAATCCTTGCTGGCATCACTACTTTGCCGTCTTCTCGAATAATTGCCTCATCCAAAATGGTGACCCCAACGTGATTCACAAGATGGCAAAACAAGGAAAGACGACGCAAAATATGGACAGTTCTACAATCATAAGTGATGAAGAACCAGCAAGCAGCCGACCGAGCATACGGATATCGGCATTCTGGCCAGAAGACTCAGAATTGTAGTTCGCACAACTAGAGGGGCAGTTCACCTTATGCAACGTTACGGACGATCACGCCAAGTACGCTTACGTACTATCACGCCTGGAGCCAAAGCAGGCCCGAGAAATAAAAGACGCCATTACCCAGCCCCCGGCAAACAGGAAGTATGAGGCAGTAAAACAAGCGTTAGTGCAGCGCTTGACAGACTCTAAGCAGCAGCGTATTCGACAGCTACTCGAACACGAGAAACTAGGCGACAGGAAGCCATCGCAGTTTCTTCGTCATTTGATCACCCTGGCCGGCAATACAGTCTCCGACGATCTCCTACAAACCCTATGGCTCGGCCGTTTGCTACCAGCAATGCAAGCCATCCTAGCAACCAGGACGGAAGACAATCTAAACAGCGTGGCAGAACAAGCAGACTGGATACACGAGGTCAACAGCAGGGCAGTCGTCGTAGCAACAACCTTGCAGCCGACAGCCGCCGTAGCATCTACATCCGAGTCAGGACAAATGGAAATCCTGACCAAACAGATAGCCGTACTCACGCAGCAGGTGGCCAAGTTGATGAGGCAAGCGAGAACAAGAAGCCGTTCCAGAGATAGATCTCGTCTAAAGCAGACAAAGCAAGGCGACAATTGCTACTATCACCGACGTTTTGGTGCGGAAGCCAAGAAATGTACTCAGCTCTGCACGTACCAAAAAACGAAGAGGTTTGTCATTGAGGGCGGCCAGTGACAATAGCCCGGGAACCCGCCGCCTGTACGTCCTGGACAGAGACTCACAATCAAGGTTTCTCGTCGACATCGGCTCTGACGTCAGCATCTACCTCCGCAGAATGATGCACGGAAGCTGGAGCATGCAACCGTTCGAGCTATTCGCCGCAAATGGAACGCAGATACGGACATTCGGGATCACAGTACTTCAGCCGATTCTAGGATTGAGACGGGCATTCCCATGGCGTTTCATTATTGCAGACGTGGAACAACCGATCATCGGCGCAGATTTCTTAGCCTACTACCATTTATTGACAGACGTCACTAAAAAGAGGTTAATCGACGGCAAGACAGGATTACACGTCTCTGGTACCACGAGCTACGCAGCAACAGTCGCAGTCAAGTTAGTCAAAGACGACTCACGCTACCATAAGATCATTTCACAATTCCCGGGAATAACGCGACCAGGAGGGATACAAAAGCCAACCAAGCACGCAACGGAGCACCACATTGCGACAACACCGGGACAGCCCGAAGCATGCCGACCGAGACGCTTAGCACCAGATAAGCTCAAGGCAGCTAAAGCAGAATTTGACCTACTTCTTCAGGAAGAAATCATCAGGGCTTCAAAGAGCCCATGGGCAGCTCCACTTCATATGGTTCCAAAAAGAGGAGAAGCGTGAAGACCATGCGGAGACTACCGCAAGCTAAATTCGAAAACAGTGCCGGATCGTTATCCTATTCCACACATTGAAGACTTCACTCAAACTCTACACGGGAAAGAAATCTTTTCTACAATTGACCTAGTACGAGCCTACAACCAAATCCCGGTGCACGCAGCGGATGTACCAAAAACGGCAATAACCACGCCATTCGGATTATTCGAGTTCCTATACATGCCGTTTGGATTAAGGAACGCGGCTCAAACGTTTCAAAGATTTATTAACGAGGTATTGCATGGATTAAATTACTGCTATTCATACATCGATGACATCTTGGTAGCCTCCACGTCAGAAGAAGAGCATGAAAACCACTTACGAGAAGTCTTTGAACGGCTAGATAAATACGGAGTTACCATTAATCCAGCCAAAAGTGTTTTTGGCGAGAAGCAAGTCAAATTCCTAGGATATTTAGTCTCCAAGGAAGGCACGAGACCCCTGCCGGACAAAGTTGAAGCGATTACACAATTTCCCAAGCCGAACAATGTCAAGCAATTGCGCCAATTTCTGGGGATGATCAACTTTTACCGGAGATTCATACAAAGAGCAGCAGAAAGACAAGCTAGATTGACCGACATTTTAAAAGGCCCGAAAATGAAGAAAAAAACGCCAGTACACAGGACGCCAGAACTAGAAGAAGATTTCGTCAGATGCTAAGAGAACCTCTCAAAAGCAGCATTATTGGCACATCCGGATCCGACAGCAGAGTTGGCAGTGACAACGGACGCGTCAGACAACGCCGTGGGAGCGGTAATACAGCAAAGGACAGGATCATCGTGGCAACCACTAACTTTCTTGAGCAAGAAACTAACGAAAGCACAGCAACGTTACAGTCCATACGACCGTGAGTTGCTGGCTGTATACATGGACATCAAGCACTACAGACACATGCTGGAAGGACGCACTTTCTCTGTTTATACCGATCACAAACCGTTAGTATACGCATTTAACCAGGATCCGCTATGCAGCTCACCCCGGCAAGCTCGGCACTTAGAATTCATCGCCCAATTTACTACAGACACCAGACACATCGCGGGCAAGGAAAACCCAGTAGCCGACACCTTATCACAAATAGAAGCTATCGAGAAAGCAGTCGACTACGAAATCATGGCTAAAGCCCAAAAAGACAATGCGGAGCTTCAGGAGATACTTCAGGCCGATAAAGGATTTAAGCTGGAGAAAGTACCAGTACCGGGAACAGAGGTTGCAATATTCTGCGACAAAACCACGGCAATACTTAGACCATACGTCCCGAAAATACTACGCCGATAAATATTCCTGTCACTCCACAATTTGGCACACCCTGGAACAAAAGCATCAGCCAAGCTGATCACACAAAGATACATATGGCCACAAGCTCAGAAGGACTGTATAGCATGGGCACAAGAATGCGCACAATGCCAGAAGTCAAAAGTAACAAAGCATAACAAAGCACCGCTAGGGAACTTTATAAATCCTACTCGACGATTTGAGCACATTCACACGGACATCGTAGGATCGCTGCCAGTATCTCAAGGGTACAAATATTGCCTCACAATAATCGATCGATTTTCCAGATGGCCAGAAGCATTCCCAGTCAAGGACATTACAGCGGAAACAATAGCTCAAAAGATCTTCGAAGAGTGGATTACGCGATACGGAACACCAGCACGAATTACGACGGATCAAGGCCGACAATTCGAGGCAGATCTGTTCAAACGTCTCACTTAGCTGACAGGAACCACGCATTGGAAAACAACAGCGTACCATCCACAAGCGAACGGAATGATCAAGCGCCTCCACCGTCAACTAAAAGGCGCGATCAAATGCCACCAGACTGCAAAATGGACAAAAGTTCTACCGGTCATCCTGATGGGCATTAGAGCAGCATGGAAGGAAGACATACAGGCAACAGCAGCAGAGATGGTTTTCGGTGAACCTATCCGCCTACCAGGACAATTCCTCCATCAGCAAACAACCACCGAAGAATACAACACAGACGATTACGTGGGACGCTTAAGGAAAATAATAAACGAGCTACAACCGCAGCTGAAAAGACACGGGCAGTCTCCAACATTTGTCTTCAAGGATCTACAAACCACACCGTACGCGTTCGTAAAACACGACACGCCGACAGGAGGAAGCCTGCAACCTCCTTACGATGGACCATACGAGGTTTTAAACAGAGGATCAAAAAACCTTCAAGTTAACAATAAAAGGACGTCCGATCAACATATCCGTAGACCGGCTGAAACCCGCGTACATCACGACGGAAGAAGAGCAAAAAGAGCAAAAGAAACACGAAAAACAACCCGCTACGGAAAAACAAACTCGATCTGGAAGGACTTCACGACCAGTGGTCAGGTTCACCGTATAAACTTACCCACAACCAGGGGGGTCCTGTGGTGCACACCACTTTACAAACACGCCGTACAGCTGTGAAGCGGCCTTAAGCTTGACCCGGCGGCCAGCCGCTGCACGGCTAGTACGGCGCGCCGCAGCTACACGGCGCACCGCGGCGCTAGTTCGACCGCAAGCAACATTGGTCCCGACGGTTAGATAAGACGGCCGTCGGCGGCCCTTCGGTATCCAGCTCACTAGTTTAGCTAGAGCGCAAACAGCTCGCTATCTAGTTGGAGCACGACCGATCTCTCCTAGAGATCACTTTTTCTCCATTTGGAGAAAAGGAAAAAAAGGCATTCCGCCGCAAAGCCCTCACAGCAAGGCCGCCGAGCGACCCTGAACACCCGGGTCTGAAAAGCTCCCAAAGGTAGAGCAGTTCCTGCCGTGGCGCCTGATACCTATCGACCTTCCTCCTCTCCGAACTTCACNTCCAAGGAGGCCGATCGTCTGGGATTGACCGCTGACACCAGCCTACACCCCACGGCAGCTAAGTGTGTTTACGCAAACGCAAGTGAACAAAGTCGACTGCGGCACCCAAACCAGGACTCGACAGAGGGCCAGGAAGCGAGGAACGAAACCCTCCACCGTAGAACGGGCCTGCCAGGCGGAGGACACACGCCCGGCTTCAATAACGGAAGCAGCCGTCCAGACGAGCGACCGAGGATCGTCGTCGGTCTCGCCGCAGCGGTTCCAGGGCACCGACTGGCGGCTAACCAAGACCAGGCCCCGCATCTTCTGGAAGGAGAAAGCTTAACAAAAGGCTCTTTCCAGGGCCGACACCAAACGGCCCTTTTCAGGGCTCTTTTTTATAAAAACCCAAAAAAATACATCTTGTACATAGTGTAAATAAAAGTCTTCTTTCCATTATAGAAAGAACTTTTAAGGGGCACAACTAGTGCGTAAGCTGAGGGGTCGTACCTCCGTTATTATTCGGGCTCTGTCGGCATTGTATATATTATAATAGTAACCCAGCAGGTACTTTTCGAGGAAGAAGAAAATGAATTGTATGGGCCTGGAATAGCAAATTAGCTCTAGGTATAATATTTCTCGATTTATAATAATGAAATCAATATTTTTATCTTTAAACGCGTTTTTCTCAAAACGACATTTTTCAAATTTGCTGCAGTTCTAACTCGAATACAAATCATTTGACCGACTTAAATCTTTTTGGAACGTGTTTAGTATTTGTTTTTCCATACAATGACCCTCCAGTTTTTTGATTGGATGAAAAATGTCAATTTGCCATGCAAAAAACCACCAGATTTTTAAGCGTAATTTGAAACTTTTTGTTCAAAACTACGCCATTTTGTTGGATTTTAATTTTTTTTCATAATCCTGCGTCATTGTACGGGAAATACCTTCTAGTTTAACGGACATTTTTTGTTTTTTGATGTCAGGCACTCTGAAGACCGCAATCACTGCAGCAGTGGGAGAACTTTTTTTTGAAGACTTGGGAAATGGCACATAAGTCGCTGAAAATTGATTCTTTTTATACAAAAAAATTGTTGCATATAGATCATTTATACACAAATATATTTTCAAAATTTCAAAACATTCGATGCCATACTTTTCTTTTAATAAATTCCCCAAAATCACCTTTTTTTGGGGCAGTCACACTAGTTGTGCCCGTTAATACACGCCTATCACATCCACGATCCTCGCTGCCATCACTACTTCGCCGTCTTCTCGAATAATTGCCTTATCCAAAAAATTAAATAGTTTAATCAGGATCCATAAGGATAGAACTGACTATGACTCTCACACTCTCTAATATTATATACAAAATCAATTGTAAGGATTGCTCAGCGTCTTATGTAGGACAGACTAAGAGGCGATTAAAAACGAGACTGAAGGAACATTTTAATAACACAAAACGTTTCTCCTCCCAATTATCAGTAATCTCAAAACACAGAACAGATCTCAATCATTCTTTTGATTGGGACAATGTCCAGATTTTAGATCATGAACACTATTATTATAAAAAGCTAATCTCTGAAATAATCTTTATAAAAAAACAGTCGCGGTTTAAATTCTGTTAACGATTTAGAATTACTAGACACTTCTTACTTCAATGTTTTGAATGTCTCTCACTGTGAAAAACAACCACTGTGAGTGGGAGAACACTTATACACAGTTTGTCCGGAAAGTTCCCGGACTACGTGAATTAAAAATCGAAAATGAAAGATATGGTTTATTAAACAAGTTTACACTTCAAGGT